CAAAGTTAGATTTTGTGTAATTTTTATGTGATAAGCCGGTAAACGAGCAGACGGATCACCTGATGGTAAGCAATCGGCGTCGCCCATGGATACCTGGAACACCAGAGGCGTTACAAGTACGTTACCGGCCTTTTGGAAATATGAAGATTATGGGGGACTCGGGGATTGGGAAAACTGGGGAAGGGAGGTAATCAGGCTTCCGGTAACCTCACTCTCACGAAAAAATACAACGCAAGCGTTGTTTCACGTCGGTTTTCTGTGAGGCCGTGGCCGTATCACTCCGGTCGAGCAAGCCCATTTGTGCCGAAGCATGGCTCTGCCAAACTTAAATGATATATTCTATCATATCATGATATAACTGTTAACCTCAAAATATTATTAAGTATTACATAAAACTTCAATAAGGCCAGTAAAACTAAATACGAACGAAAACATGCAAATTAATTCGATTAATTCTAGTTAAATAAAATGACAGCGCGTTGATGTCTTTTGTACGTAACAAATTGTCGAACAAATCGACCGTTATTATGATTCGAAGAAAACCAATGTAATTGCTACAATTATATACAAATTGCTTTATAATTAGATAAATATGATTATTATTGAGCGTTGTGGTGGTCTAAGAGGCACATACGACTACGAAATATAAGTTTGTCTTGAGGCGATATTGTTGTTACCTTATAAAAAAAACTATATATATATAAATATTCGTATTATTCACTCCCGTCTAAAAGTAATTTAATGCCTTTGTTTTTTGACGCTTTAGCAGTGGTAGACGACGAGTACATGAGCTTTTCTTCAGTCTTGTTTATTTTTTAGAAGTATTTAGTACACACGATTTAATGTCATAAATTCTGCGTAACTTTAAAACTGAAAATCCTATGTAAAATATTGCCTGACCCATAAATCGGGCCCAAGGCTTCAATGGTAATGACACGTGTCTAATTGATCATCGAGACTCTCACAATATGACATAACCATAATAAAATATGAATAACATAACATAACATAACATCACGCCTTTTACCCCCGAAGCGGTAGGCAGAGGTGCACATTACGGTACTTCATGCCACTGTACAATGTAACACCTACTTTCCACTACTACTACTACTATCGTGCTAATATTGATATTTTTTTTTAATCCAATAATACTTTGCCCAATCCGGGAATCGAACCCGAGACCCCTTGCCCAGCAGTCACACGTGAGACCACTCGGCCAACGAAGCAGTCCTATGAACAATATTATATATCAACCTTCATTACATTGGTTAGATTACTTTATAACTTGGACCTTGCTTATAATAAATTATGCAATGCTTTACGATAGACCATTAATCCTAAGTTACATTAAACGGATGCTTCTAAGTTTTTCTAAGTTACTGTTAAGTATTGTTGTCCCTTTCATTTACAATGTGTATGGCAAAGATAGAAATATGTTTTCATAAAATAGTAAATGAAGTGGTTCGTGAAGATAATGACAGGGTATGAAAGTTAAAAAACTAATTAGTCCGTCAGTTAGGTAATGCAAAAAAAATAGACACGTATATTTTTATTTTGTCGTATAAGAAAACAATACTTTATAAAACGAATCAAAGTTTAGGAGTGGGAGGTAGCTACGTCATTTTAGAGTATAAATCGTATTCAAAGATAATGCGATAATTATTTCAAATCAATATATCATCGAAACCATTCGAAATTCGAAACTAACTAGTCTAATGTTTTTACTTCATTTACCAGACGGACATGAAAATAAAAAATTAGTCATCTACCGTATTCTACTTTGAAATAAAGTTATATTAAATAGAAAGAAAGAAAGTAAGAAAAGTTGTTTATAACACCGCAATACACACGTAGACAAGAACATATGGTACATATAAAAAGAAGTCTATGGAGCGTTGCAGCGCAAAAGGCTAGAGCTCTGCTTAATACTATGGCCTAGGCACGAACATTCGAGTCCACGGTGCTAATTTTAAGCACAACATTGTGTTAGTATCCTCCTTTAAAAAAACTGGCAATGCACTTGTCTTACACCTATGGTGTTGTGGATATCCATGGGTGGTGCCGATTGCTTACCATTAGTTCATTGGATGATCCATCTGCTCCTTTATCTTACACTTATTGCATAAAGAATATGTATAACTGACTCATATACAAATCTAGTCGCGGAGAACCTAACGGGTAACCGGGGCTCCGGCTCGAAGTGCAGGAGAAGGAACGGGGTGGTTTTTAGTCAGTAAGAGTCTGACACTAACTCCCGCCTCACCCAGGCGGGAGAAGTCTTTCGATGATTTTCCTCTCTTAAAAAAATGTCCTTCTATACATATATAAATCAAATGCTGACTCGCGTTCGCTTCTTCATCGGCGAGTTCAACGGTATTGACATACTTTTTCTAAGTAAAAATGATTTTAAAAAGCAAATTCGAACAATTCTTAGAGATCGGCAGTCTGTCTGTGATGCAATGTGTGTACAGAATTGTAAAAATTGGTTGTGACCGTTTTATTTAATTATACGCATAATAGTGTTTACATTGTGAATGTAATAATGCAAGCCGTTGAAAAATGTACCTATGTTGGTGTCACTGAATGAATTATGTATATTTTTTAATCCGTTACTGTTTGTTTTTCCTTAACAAATTAAGAAATATATAGAACACATAATAACATAATAATTTAAGCACATAACAAGTAAAAAATGTTGTACATTTAATACATTTCATAAATGGAAGATTAAAAGGTGAGATGTCTTAGTTATGTTGCTAAAGAGCTAATACTGTGTCATCTAACCACAAAAATTATGCCTTCGTGACTAGAAACTAAAAAACTACTCCACATACTATACAAATTACAAACACAAACAAAAAATGTAGCCATTTTATTACGGTAGCCGACAATATGTGGCTAATTGACGTCCTCGGTATGGCAATGTGGCTATAACGGTAGGCTATTTTCCTAGCGGTCTAGCCTAGCCCAGGTCTGGTCTAAGTACTAGATTATTTCCTAGATATACTGCAATTTATCTAGGGTTAATCGTAACTGGTTTTATTAAGGTCTTGTAAAGCGGGTTGGGTAGTCATTTGGTAGTCAGTACGAATATTTGATTGAGGAACTTAAACACTGAACCTACGACCGTAGGTTCAGTGTTTAAGTAGGGCACGTGTTTGTGTTTTTGATGTTTGTAATAATTATTAAAAGGAAATTGTAAGGAATCTTCATTGGCACTACTTTCGTTTCTGTTTTACCACGTTTTACAGTAGATAAACCTCGTTATAAGTGGTTCGGAGACAGTCCAATAAATTAACGATATTTTAAAGATTAATAAAACTTTTTCTTTATGCAAACTTACATTTTTTTTAATAAATAAAACATTTCTCCTCACTAAGATTTTCTCCTGTATCGTGGGTGCGTTTACTAACATACAAGTTCACATACACGTGAGTGACACTCAGACCCGGAACAACAATTTGTGGATCACACAAACAGTTGTTCCGTGCGGGATTCGAACCCGCTACGCTTTGCGCGGCAGCCAGTTGCCCAGCCACCGCACCAACCGACAAATTCCGATTAATAATGTAACTCCAACAGCTGGATGATGAAGATGATGAATGGAACGAGAACTTTCTTTAAAGTCTTTGATTTCTGTTCAGACAACGAAACATGCACTAAAACATGAATAAGTCAGTCACCTCCTATTATACTTAGATCAAAAAATATAACTATACTATGCACTATAGCAACCTCTTTAAAAAACAACGTCCTCAAAACTCCTCAATTATAATAACGACCTATCTCTTCCTAGTAACATTGCATGTATAACAAAATGCGTAAGCGCATCGAACTTGCTTCCAGTCGCGACCGGCCGCGTCCGGCGCCAGGCGCTGCCCGATGCGCAGGAGTTGATGTCTTGTCGATAACTGTACTCGAGCCATTTCCTGGCCTACGGGTTTGTGATATGGATGTTTGTGATGGTAGCCAGCAGTAGGCAGGTTTTATCCTTACTAATAGATGTTGTTTTTAGAATAAACTGTTTATTAAGGCTCTATAGGTTTCCTTAAGGCTGTAAAGGTTCAAGGTCATTAACTAGTTAAATTATTCTTAATGTAATGAATGTAATATTACCTCTACATCACGCCTTATATAGACAGAGGTGCACATTACGTCACTTAATACCACTGTGCAATGTAACACCCACTTTTCACTATTTTATGTTTGAGTCCCATGTAATAGGTTGTGAGCCTATTGCCATATACCGGGCACAATTCTAGAATCTGTGCTACTACTAAGATTTTTTTTTTAAAAAACCCAGCAGCACTTTGCCCGACCCTGGAATCGAATCCGAGAGCTCTTGCCCGGTAGTCGCATTTGCGAACACTCGGCCAATGAGGCACTCTAGAACAAAAATTAAGAGATTTTAATGTAATTGTTGTCTACATATTGAAATTGTTACAAGGGTGGGGGGGGGTATTTTGTGTATGTCTGCTGTAGAAGCAGTTGCACAGTTTCACGGCCAGTTTCAATAACGTATCTATCTGTAGATTACATTATTAGCGATAATTAGTTAAGTTTGGCTTCGGTACGAATGGGCCGGCTCGACCGAAGGGATACCACGGCCTTAAAGAAAACCAATGTGAAGCAACGCTTGCGTTCTGTTTCGTCGTGTGAGTGAGGTTACCGGAGGTCCGGAGGTCCAATTACCGACTCAGATAGAATAGAAACACACCCTGGCAAAGGAATTCACTTCTTAGCCACGAATTACTGAATAAACTTTACATTTTTTACGAAAAGAAAGACATGAATTAAGTAAAAACGCGGGTTACTCACGTGAATATACTGAGAAAAGCTCTACTAGTTTCGAACCACAGAGGGGTTCTCTCTAGTAGAGCTTTTCTCAGTATATTCACGTGAGTAACCCGCGTTTTTACTTAATTTAGTATGTCTCACGATAGTTATTATAAAAACAAAGACATGAATATTAATCTAACAGCATTTCTCCTTTGTTTCAGGCCCCACAACCGCGTGTTCGCCGCGAATCATGCAACAGTCGTAGCAACGAACAAACAGACAGTCAAAATGGGCCCACCAATAAGTGCCTGGCCGACCAGAGACATGAAAGTGCCAAATATATCTAATGAAAGTGACGATTTATCGCGAAAGTGTTTGTTACGATATCTGAACACTTTCAGAGTGTTATGTTTAAATTTCACATTTGCATTATTATTATTTCAAGTGTTTTTTGGTTTTAACCCCGTGAGAGCCGGCCCTGTGATACTCAACATGGATTATTCACAAGGTAAGATGCTTTTAATATTTTTTAATTTATCTGCCTCGTTGGCCGAGTGGTCGCAAGTGCGACTGCCGGGCAAGCGGTCTCGGGTTCGATTTCCGGGTCGGGCAAAGTAATATCGGGTTTAAAAAAAAAACACAGGACAACGTTAAAAAAAGAACTAGGATTTTCTCCTGTGTCGTGGGTGCACTTACAAACATACACGTTCATATATACATGACACCCAGACCCAATGCGACAATTTGTGGATCACACAAATAGTGACTGCACCAACCGTGCAGTCATCACATTACATAACATAGACATTTACATACATACATAACATCACGCCTTTTATCCTCGAAAGGGTAGGCAGAGGTGCACATTATACAACTGTACAATGTAACACCCACTTTTCACTATTTATGTTATGAGTCCCATGTAATAGGGGGTGAACCTATTGCCATATACCTTGCACAGTTCCAGACTCCGTGCTACTACTCAGAATTTTTAAAAAACCCAGTAATACTTTGCCCTAACCGGGAATCGAATCCGAGACCCCTTGCCCGGCAGTCGCAATTGCGACCACTCGGTCAACGAGGCGTAAACATTTAAAAAGTTCAACTCTTCTATAACCTCAAGCGATCACGTCTCGTCTCATACAAATATATATTTCACTTTTACCAAAACGAATTGTACTGAGAACCTCATTACCGGACATAGAACATACAATTATATTCACTCACACTTTTATCTACTTTCCTAGCTTTTGTTGTCAATTCGTTTTGGTAAGTGAAAACTATTCATAAATAACAGTTGCTAAGGTGCTTTTTAAAATGGCAAGTGACGGTAGAATAGAAAATATAAGTCATCTCTGAATCTATTGAAGCTTTAGACATAAATTCTATACAATTGACGTCAATATTAAAAATAAGTAAATACATTTAGTATTTATTTATTTATTTATGCACAACACACAGACAGTACACAGGAGAATACATATATAAATAATTTGGAGAGGTACATAGGTACTACATATTCCCGTAGGAATCTCTTCCTGCATTCCTTCGACGGGAAAAACAGCAAAAACTAAGACACTGTGTGTAACATGGCATGAACAAAAAAATACATACCTCTATATTATTACCAAAATTTAAGCCAAGAAAAGAAACTGGGTAGTTTCCAGGGCATCAAATTTAAAAATCGAATTAGTCCGTAAGGTAGATAATGAATAAATATTAGACACGTATTTTTTTATTTTCTCGTATTAAGTTGCAATACTTAGTGGGAACGTGCTACGAAATGTGGCACGCTGTGACGTCACACGATATTTCAAATTAATATATCGTCAAAAGTATTTAATTTTCTGAGAAAAGAAATAATATGTGTCTAAAATTTTAAAACATGTACCAGACGGACATTAAAATAAAATTTAGGAAACTACATTATTGTTCAAAAATTCTCAACCTTTAAGAGGACCCCTATTCGTGCACAATATGAAAATTTATTATGTACATATAAATGTAAAACTCGTCGTGTCCTTGGTATTGCGACAATTATTTTTGATTTGATAATAATATGATTTGATTGATTGAGTACCCCATAAATGGCAAAACATATAGACTCTGTTCAAACTAAAAACACCTTCATTGTAATTATTCATGTTTTATTATATAAATATCTGTCTATCTCTATCTCAATTAATATTTGGGATGTAAATATGTAAGAGGGTGGTATATTAGCGGTACAATTTGGTATGTTAAAATATAAAACAGAATATTATAATGCAATCCAAACATTGTATTGTTTTGATAACTTAAAAAAAGAAACAATACGAATTCAAAAATCTAACATAATTTACACATATTTAAATAATTTATGTTTACGTATCTCGGAAACGGCTGTAGTGATTCCAATAAAATATTATATTTAGATGAGGTTCCGTTGTTTCAAGTTTGTTTGGAATTGTGTCAAAATCATGGTTTGTTTTTGTTTTAATTTTATTATTTAAGATATGATAAGATAATTTAAATCTAAACTTCCAATGAGTTTTTGGTTGTAGTCACGTAGGGAAGGGTAGCTAGAAGTAGTCATAACATATCACGCTACAACTATCAGGATGTGTGTAGCAAGGTATCTAGTAATCTATTGCTACTGCGAAGGTCTCTACTCATACCCAATGCTTAAAGTAATCGTAGAAGTTAGGTACCCTCATTAATTCGTCCTTGGCCTTTTAGAATACTAATTAAATCATTTATAATCAGGACAATCTAGTCATTAACTGATACCATATAAGGTTCATAGTTGTAGTAACTTTTACTGAACTAAATACAAGCCTTGTGGTGACGATGGACTAGAATATAAGTACGTACTTACCATTCCTATCATTTTCGTGGGTTTCGTAATGGCCGACTAAGAGACTACGCATTTAACAGAGACCGGGCAGCAGCGCTCTTTAATATATCGGAATCTCCTAAACTTAGGGCACACCTTCTTATGTAGAGGAGGCCCAATTCTAAAACCTCAAAATCCCCAAATATCCAATCTATAAGAGGTGCTCTAAAAAGTTGGTTGTTACTGTTCTGGTGTTCCAGGTGTCTATAGGCGGCGCCGATTACTTTTTTTTGCGAAGTTACAAATTCAAAGGCGTTACAAGTTGTAACTTACAAGTGCGTTAAGGAACATCCTTTTGGGGATAAGGAATTTGAGGATTGTTAGGGATTCGGGGATCGGGAAAACAGCAGAGGGGAGGGGGGGACGGGGGTAATTGGGCATCCGGTAACCTTACTCTGCTCACACGACGAAACACAACGCAAGCATTTTTTCACGTCGGTTTTTTGCTCGGCCGTGGTATCGCTCCGGTGGAGCCGGCCCTTTCGTGCCGAAGCATGGCTCTCGCACACTTAATAACACTGTTAGTGATGATTTCAAACTTCTAGGAATTAAAAGGCATAATGAGTTATCTGTATGTTTATGTTTTAAAGGCTTAGTCACAACGAGGGCTATCTCCATTAGGTCGCGACCACACTTTCACTTCCTGGCCATCGCCAAGGACCAACTAGGTCGCAGTACCGCTCACGAGCCTCGCTTTCCGAATAATCGGAATTCAAATCGATTAGGAATGCCGACTCGATTCGTGAATCGATTAAAACTCGGTGCCTGAGTAATTAAGGTGGTTTTAAGTTTTGTCGTTAAGTGAGTATACATTTACTATTTATACATATGTAACATATTTTATGTTATATGCATGTACTCTTAACCTGCGTGCTAGTTATGATGTTATGTAAGAATGGTAGTTCGCACTCTGTAGTTACTGCCTACACCAATGGGACGAAGGTCTGACTTTATATGAGTAAAATAAAAACCCATAGTATTTCGTCTGTACGGTGCACATCGTATAGCATCATTTCATTTTACAATAATAGTTAGTTCGCGTCGATCGTCATCGCCATCAAGTCGTTCTCATTGCGGTCAGCAAAATCCACGTGTCACTCAGCTCACACGCATCAGTTCATCACCTTATTTACCTTTAATTTTGGAACAATACAATAGTTTAGATACATTTAATATCTTTTATTCTATTGTACCCAATATCATCTGAAAGTAGAGTGCGATCGAGCAAGAGATCATACATCGCTTATCTTGATTCAAGGGTTGAATTTCCGCATCGTCACTATCATAATTTAGCCACAAAACGCCCTTTGTTGAACTAATAACTTATGAACCGGTCAAAAGCAACTTGCATCTCTCTTTGACTGCACGGTTGGTGCGGTGGCTGGGCAACCGGCTGCCGTGCAACGTGTCGCGGGTTCGATTGCCGCACGGAACAACACTTTGTGTGATCCACAAATTGTTGTTCCGGGTCTGGGTGTCATTGTGTATGTGAACTTGTATGTTTGTAAACGCACCCAGGACACAGGAGAAAATCCTAGTGTGGAGCAACGTTATTGTTTTAAAAAAAAATCTAACGTCTTCCTACGACCTTTATTAGGTTTGCCACTTATGAAAGTATCACCTAACGTCTAATGAGGTCAAAGCGTCTTTTATCTTATACTATCATCGTTATATTACAAATATGAAAAGTTTGTCTGTTTGTTTGTTTGTTTGAACGCGCTCATCTCCAAAACTACTGGCCCAAATTAAATTTTTTTTTGTATTGGAAAGTACATTTTTTGGGAATGGTTATAGGCTATAATTAATACCATGCTACCATCAATAGGAGCCGAAGAGAGCGGGTGACACCTTGCGGAAGTAGGTAGTCAAAGTCAAAGCATTTATTTAGTCAAAACGTCAACAAATACAAAATAAATAATAGTCCGTCAGTCAGTCCGTCAGTGAAGATAGGCGAAGCTAGGTGCTCATTCCAAAATGTAGATTCGAATGGAGAAGAACGAGCACGAAACTCCATATATATATAAATACAATAGTATAACTCCATATCCTCTTGTCTGTTGGAAAGTTGCGGGTATATTGTGTTTTATACCGGGAGCCGGTGTTTCAACAGATAAAAGGATATTATAAAGAGGAAAGATTTGTACCTATTTTTGTATGTTTGTATGTTTGGAATGAATAGGCTCAAAAAGTACTGGGCCGATTTAAAAAATTCTTTCGCCAATAGAATGCTACATTCTTCCAATTTGACACAGGCTACATTTCATTAAAAAAAAAAATTGTCTACCCCGTGCGAAGCTGGGACGGGCTGCTAGTAGTAGATAAATAATTAAACTAATTAATAATACAGTTACATATACAAACCAACTGAGACTCGTTTTGTTATAAATTAGTCCAAAATGTAATAACTAAATATTAATGTATGAAAGTAAACATTATCAGTAAGTTTTGCTTGTTGACAATACTTATTGGAAGTAGGTCGATGACCTGTGCGTTTGTGACTCAGATATTTCTCCAGTTGGCTTCATTTTTGGGTATTAAGTTCGTTTCATATTGATGGTGTTTTTTATTGCACGACTACTTCTTTTTTATGAATTTGTTTACCATCGCGATCCAAAATAAATACACGTCGAGTT